TCCCATCGCTCATTAGCTGGGGGAACCTCCTCATCTGTAAACTGGGAGTAGTCAGACCCACCCCAGTGGAGATATTCTAATGTCCAAATGAAAGAAGGCACGTGGAAGGTCTGGCTCTGGGCTCTGGTTCTAGCAAGGACTCGATAAAAGTTGTTGTTTTTTTTCTATCCTTCATGCCTTGTTCTTGCACTTGCTGCTCCTTCACCTTAAAAGACCATCACATTCCTTTCTGTTGAACTCCTACCTGTCCTTCAAAAACCCAGTTGAATCAAAGGCTTTCTGGTCCCTCCAGCTAACAGACCCACCACTTCCTGCTCAGCACTCCCACAGCATATCACACAAGGCACCCTGAGGCCAATAGCAGGGCCACCTGGCCCTGCCAAGGGACAAGAATCAGAAAAGGTTTCCTGGAAAAAGAGGCATTCAAGCTGAGACTCAATGGACAGATAGGCAAAGAGCAGTGGGATGAGCATCCTAGGCGGAGGGAACCATGTGTGCAAAGGACAGAAATCCAGAGAAAGCTTGGTAGATTTAAGGAGTTCGAGTCCTATGCAAGGGCCTTCTCTGACCACTCTCCCTAAAATAGTACCTGTCATTCTCTAAGTTAACCCTGAATGAATTTTCTTCACTGCCAGACAGTTACATTATATATTTCTGTTTATTGCTTGTGTCCCGAACTAAAATTCTAAGTCCATTAGGGCAGGTGCCTATCGTCCTCGTTCACCTCTGTATCCTTCTCATGACTCATCATGATCGATGGTTTACCTGCTAGATTCTGAGCTCCAAGAACACAGGAACCCAGCCATCGGGCTCACTAGTAAATTCCCAGCAGCCAGCACAGGGCCAGGTACCCAGTAGAAACTTAGTAAACATTTGTGATTGAATAAATATTGTCCATTGAAGAGATTGGATCTGCTGAATGAATAAGTGCAGGAATGGATGAGTGAATGCAAGCACACATGAATATATATATGTATACACCCACACAAATGGATAGGCGAACAAATGAATGGACTAATTAACGCATGAATGCACACTCTCACATTCATATACTCAAAGCCCAGAGGCACAGATCCTGAGCTGCCTCCCCTTGGGCTTCTTAAGCCTCCGAGGCTTCTATCTCCCGGAGCCCTAGCCATTCAAAGCTTCTTTTCTTAGCCCCAGCAGCTGAGTTTCCATTGTCATCAGGGGCAACAGGCCATTTCCCCTCCGCCCCTCTACTCTGAGTCCTGGGAGCTCACTAAATTCTCAGCCCTCTTTGAGGAGGTCAGCTGACCCTGGTGCCTGGACCTCTTCTCATTGTAAGGCATTTTTTTGTGTGTTTTTTTACAGGAGCCTCCCATGGGAATTGTCGGCGTTCCATTCTCCCAGAGAATGGGATGTGAAATCTGGCCCGTTTTTTTTTTATTATTATTAATTGCAAATTAATGCTATCCTGGGTGTCTATTTTGGTAGACATGCTTCTCCTCGGAGTACGGAATGCAACCCAAAGAAGCACATTGCTCTCATTCTTTCTGCTGACCGACTGTGTGAATATTTCTAGAAGCCACACCCTCTCGCACTGGCCAGATAAGTGATTCCCAATGCCAGATGTGCTCTTTGCCAATCAACATCAGGCAGGGAAGGGACGAGGAACAGCTGCATGGCTCCCACCGAAACTGCAGCGACATGTGACAAGTTTAAACCAGTAGCATTTTTACAGGCTTCCTGGGCAACAGCCCTCTACCCTTGGAATTGGGGGGATGCACCCACATTTAGAGAGACACATGAGGGGGCTCCCAGAGGCATCTCGCTGCTCATAGTCCATTGGCTGGTAAGAGGCCATCAGTGTCAATGGTCCCCTTGTCCAGGTACCGATGACATGGGCTCTCTTGAACTTGGAGCCCAGCTTGCAGCCATGTGTCTGTGCCTGCTGTCTTTATCACAAGTGCCCTTTTATAAATATGTTTTCAGCAAAATGCTGACTTGGGAAGAGCTGAGCATATCCAGCCGGAAGACAAATCAACACCAGCTGAAACACATTTTTAAAAACCTTGGAAGTGGGTGTGAGATGATGAAAAGAGAATTTGTCTGGAAGTCAAACATTTGAATTCTAATCCTGGCTGTCATCCCTTCACTCCAATCAAACAGCTTAAGAGCACCTACTGTGTGACAAGCACTGTGCCACACTCCGGGGAAACAGACACAATAATTTCATCTATACTAATTCACTGTGTCTGATCCTGGGCACATCAGTTGGACTTTTTGGACCATAATCATTAAAACAAAGGAAATGACCCTCAAGGTTCTTTCAAGCTTTAGGAGTCTCAGATCCTAGCAGCATTCCTTGAATAAGCAGAAGGAAGGATTCGCGTCAGAGAATGGGAAGGTTTAGTTTCTATTCAGGAGGTGTGTGCATGTGTGTGTGTGTGTGTGTGTGTGTGTGTGTGTGTGTGTTTCCTTAGTAAATGCCAGAAACAAAAAATCTTAAGGATTAAGAATCCTAGCCCAGCCGATGTGGCTCATTGGTTGAGCATCAACCTATGAACCAGGAGGTCACGGTTGGATTCCTGGTCAGGGTACATGCCTGGGTTGCCAGCTTGATCCCTAGTAAGGGGCGGGGGGTGCAGGAGGCAGCCAGTCAATGATTCTCTCTCATCATTGATGTCTTTATCTCTCTCTCCCTTCATTTCTGAAATCAATAAAAATGTATTTTAAAAAAAGAATCCTAAAGAAAAAGACCCATGTCTGCTATTTCCCCACCTAACGGACAGGGATCCTAGATTGAAGGACTTGGTCCTGGGAACTGGGAGGCCCAACGCCATGGCACTATTGCTTATGCCAATGAGCCATTCTCCTGGGCTCCTCCCTATTGTTCCCAGCTCAGTTGCATTCAGAATTCTAACCATTCTTTTCCTCTGGGCAAGTCTATGACTCCCTAGGAAGCTATGTGCCTTATCACTTCTGGAACTACACCATGGGAGCAAGAGGTCACATTGTATTACAGAACCCAACCCCCAAGTGAGAGGCTCACATTCCAGGCCTTGTAAGACTACATTTAGTTTGGAGAGCTCTGGGGGCAGGTGGGAGGAAGAATCTGCAGAGGAAGTTAACAGGGTGGATGACACAAACCCTTAGAATGTGTCCCTCAGACCAGAAGCCAATTCTCTAGCCATGGCCTGACCACCAGGTACCTTCAAAGCAACTGGCGTCCTGTCCAGTTTCCTCCCCAGGGGCCACCCATTTAAGTAGGCACCTTGGACATGAAGCGTTAAGTGCTAAGTGCTTTGACTATATGTTGTCTAAAATCCTCATGTTTGTCATTGCCTCCCCCGGACTGGGAACAGGGCATGGCACACAGTAACTGCTCCGGAAACACTCAGTGAAAAAGTGAACAAATCCACAACAATCATCAGAGATGGACTGTCAACCCTACTGGACAAATGAGGAAACTGAGATTTAGGCAGGCAAGTCATTTATCCAAAATACTGCCATTAGTAACAGGCAGGGCTGCCATTCAAAACCCAGGCGAGCCAACTCCAAAGCCACTGCTTTTACCTTGACTCACTACACAGTGCTCAGCAGTTTATAAAGCTAAACACAAACTATCTCATTTACTCCTCCAAACAAGCCTGTGGGCAGTGCTGTTACCCCATTTTCTAGTTAACAGGGTGAAGTGCATTGCCCAATGTCAAGGAACTAGTAAGCCACACAGGATGGAGTGTTCTAACTGTGCATCTAGCCTCCTGCTCGAATTCTCCAGCCACTCGGCCAGAACTGGAGATTTCACTTCCTGTTCCTAGAGAAAGCTGCTCTGACCAACTCTTTTCTCCTCATTCTGAGGACTACACAGAACTATGTGACCACAGTCAACCACTCGCAAAAACAAGATGTCACCGGACGTGGCTTCCAGGAGCCTCTCGAAGGATGATGGTGACTAACGATGGTCAGATGCCAAAGCAACTCCATCCTTCCAAGCAAGGAAAGAGTCCCCCGTGATGCACCCCCTCAACTTAGAGCAACAACAACAACAAAAGAGGGCGATGCAAGGTCATTCCCAGGCTTGGTCCTGGGACCAGGGAGGAGGCACTAACGTCACCAGCGGCTAATTAGAGGGATCCCCTGGTGCCAGGAGGACTAAGGCCATTTCATAATGAAACCCACGCAGTGAGCTCCGTTTATTTTGAAACCGTATTTGCTTATTTTGCTGATGTGATCAAAGGGACGTCCCGAGTGCTCCGCAGGAGGCACTTGAACCCTATTGGCCAGGAGCACTTTCTCCAGCTCCAGCAGCAGCCAGCAATAATACTCTCTGTAAAAGTAAGCTCCATCACTTGACGGGATGCTCCTTCCCAACAGCGAACACCACCTCCCTTTCCATCAGCTTCCCAGTCCCAGGCAGGTCTCAGGGGTGGGAGGGAGGGGAGTGACAGAAAGTGGCAGGGAAAGCGTTCCAGCTCTAAGATAACTCGGGGCCCTCCTGGCAAACCAAGCATAGTGGCTCAAACGAGGGCTCATGAGTCAGAAAGACATGGGTTCAAATCCCAACTCCACTACCTACTACTGTGTGACCTTGGGTAAGTTACTTAACTTCTCTGTGTCGCAGTGAACCTAGCTAGGAAATGTAAACAAGAGGACCTATCTCCTAAGGTTCTTGTAAAGATCGAATTTAAATGATGTCAGGCAAAGATGATTTGAAATACATAACATAAGTGTTATTGTACTAAGTATTTTTATGGCAATGATTGTAATGATTGTAGACCATGAACTTGCTGAAGACAGAGACTGTATTTTAGTCACCTAATTATCCCAGCATGAAGAAGAATGTCTGGCATGTAGTTGAACATGGGTAAATGGCTTACGGAGTTTGAACTGAGGACTCAAGCCCAGTGACGCTCCCCACCCGCCTGCCGGGGAAGGAAGTGGCCACCTTATTTCTAAGCTGTAGTTTGGAGCAGCTTAACCCCCACCGGATGCCACCCCCAGGCCCTGCATATCAATCATCGAGGCAAGAGGTTTACCTTAATATTGCAGTTGTCATCGAGCAGTATATTTTCCAGCTTCAAGTCCCGGTGGACCACACCGTTCTGAAATGAGAAGACAGGCGGGGAATTGAATGGGAGCGGATGGGATGAGAGAAAGAGAGGGAGAGGGAGAGAGGAAGGCGGAGGCAGAGCAAAGGGAAGCATCTGACAGATGAAAGATGCACCAGCCCGGTGGTCTTCACCTCCATCCTTCAGGGCTGCTCTCGCTGTCATGCAGCTCCCACCAGAGACCGCGACAGCAGAGCATTAGTCACTTGTGTGTGGTTAAGGGAAAAATGACTGGAATCCTTCTCCCCCAGAGCCTGTAAAACAGCAGGGGGATCCTTTGTCGGAATGTCATTCCACTGTGTGAAAGCAACACAGTCCCAGGCGGCGGCAAACCATGTCTGTCTGTGATGTGATTCCCAGGGAAGAAGCAGATTTCTCTGCTGGGGACTCAGAATGCAGGGCTCCCAGACCTTTCGTGTCTGTCTGTCTGTCTGTCTGCCTGCCTGCCTCCTCAATGCTGGAAAGAAGCCTGGTTCAATCTGTTCTGAGGATAACAAAGTTGTTACCATGGGTGTTTCCTCAGCAGCTGGGAGGGAAGATTTTCAAAGTCCCCTTTTGCTCGGCGGGATTCAATGCAGGTAAAGGGTGAAGGTGGGGGAGGCTGGTGAGACCGTCGCCACTGGGTTGACCACAGCAGGTCGGCAGGTCGCTGCCACCCTGGATGACCTACCCATTCAGGTAAGCTCTGGGAAGGCTGGAAGCTGAGCTGCAGTGACAAGCAGCCAGCCCACCAACAGGTGAAAAGAGTCATCAGCCAATAAGCTGTTGGCCTATATCAGTGGTCGGCAAACTGCGGCTCACGAGCCAACATGCGGCTCTTTGGCCCCTTGAGTGTGGCTCTTCCACAAAATACCACGTGCGGGTGCGCACGTACAGTGTGATTAAAACTTCGTGGCCCATGCGCAGAAGTCGGTATTTTGTGGAAGAGCCACACTCAAGGGGCCAAAGAGCCGCATGTGGCTCGTGAGCCACAGTTTGCCGACCACTGGCCTATATCTACAGCAGTAACAACTGGTGTGCTCGCTTCTCTTTTAACACATTGCGTACCGCATAGAAATCTCTAAGACATACGCCAGGGACCTCACGTTTTTGGGCAAACTGCACGTTATTTAAATCATCATAATGCACTTTAGGTATTGTTTTTCAATAATTATAACATTTTTATTTACAAAAACAATTAAACAATTAAAGTTCCTAGTACTTTTTTAACGTATGGTACTGCGTAAAACATTTTCCTCTATGAAGAGGGACCAAACAAAATTTACATAAGTATCTAGATTCGCTCCTTTTTCCATGGGCGTGAAAAACGAGAACACTCGTGAGCGGTCCTTAACAGATGGCGCGCGAAACACGAGAAAACTCCTGAGCGGTACGAAATGTGTTAAAACCCAATGATCTTTTCATGGTGGGCATGGGAAGAGGAGTGGAACAGAAAGAACCAACTATTCCAGGCTGGGCAGATAATTAACAGGGAGAGAATTTTTAACATTATTCAGCATAAAGGACCATTTACAAGCTAAGCTGCTCTTTTAAGCAAATGAACTGCCTAGAAATTCTGTCTTTCAGTCAAGATTTTCTTAGTTCAGAATCTCCCTTTTTCCAATTGGTTCTTTATTATTCTCCTTTCCTTTTGCCAGTTCCTAACATCTCCAAAAGTACTGACCAGAGAGAAGAAAAGAACATATATTTTTCTGAGACTTTTTCTAATCCAAACCTTCAAGGGTGTGTTTTGAATTCAAAAAAAATGCACAAAATCAGGCTCCTCAATGAAAGATATGAAATACAAGGTACCTAATTCTGCTTTGCTTTCAATATTGGGAGTTGTTCGGTTTACACTGCTGCATTCCTCATTTTCACAATAAGATGGAATGAGTCTAATAAAGTCCCTTAGTATGCAGAAACTTCAAGTAATAAAAGTACCATCTGCAATGCTTTTTGATGATGCCTGGTGATAAAATACACACTGTTGTATGATCTGAATCATCAGGACCTTGGGTTACGGGTTTTAGATCTGAATAATCATTTTCTAATCACTCCCAGAGCCACTACTGACGAACCAGAATACCTGGCAAACCAGGGGACCCTGTACTACAATCATTTGTGTGAAGAAACTGGCTATTTGGTATGCCATGTTGGATTCAAGTCACTGCTGTCCTCAAAGTGAATGAGTGTTCAAGGTATGATAGTTCTGGGGGGGGGGGGGGATTTTTTTTAGATGATTAATAACATTAATGGCCAGACTGTGGCTTGGAATTATCTGGGGACTTCATTTCCTTCTCCAGAGGCCAACAGTGGCTAACCCGTGGCTGATGATGAGCACATCCAAATGGGTGTATTGTGACAGGATGTACATGAGCATCTATGTGTCACCCCTTTGGAAGCAATCAATGCAACAAAAGGGACCAAGAGCAGAGAAAGGTTCAGAACCTGTGGCACAGGAATTCCACTTCTATAATTTCTCTTAAGCAAATTATTCAAATGAGAGGAAAAGGTTACTGTCTAAAAACATTGATCACTATTTGTAATAACCAGAAACTGGCATCAGCCTACATGTCCAATAATCACAATAATTACAGAGAATTTTTAGTAACATAGGAAAATGTTTAGATTAAAATACTAAGTGAAAAGCAAGACACAAACTTTGTAAAAATTATGCAATCCATTACTCCTGGAACAGAGAAAGGCCATTGGTGGAAAAACTGGTGAAATCCCAATAAAACCTGAAGTTTATTAATGGCAACATATGAATGTTGGTACATTCATACTACAGTAATGCATTATGGTAAGATGTTACCATAGGGCCAGCTGAGTCAGGGGTATATGGCAACTCTCTGTACTATTGGGAAACGCTGCTGTAAATCTAAAATTATTCTAAATAAAAATTTCAAATAAAAAACAAATGTTAAAAGTAGGAAGAAGAAGATTAGAAAGAAACAAAAATGTCAACAATGAGTTATTGCTGGATTCTGGAATTATGGATGGTGGTAATTTTCTTCTTTTCACTTTGTAAGTTCTCCATAAGTACTATAATGAACAGACATTACCCTTATAATGTGAAAACAAACAAACAAACAAACACGTGATGCCATAGACACCATCTGCGGCCAAAGCTCTGGCCAGCCGGTACCTTGTGACAATAGTGAACGGCGGAGACGATCTGCCGGAAGAAGTGTCTGGTCTCTCTCTCGCTGAGGCGTCTCCGCTCGCTGATGAAATCATACAGCTCCCCTTTGCTGGCATATTCCATGATGATCACAATCTTATCTTTGTTCTCAAACACTGTGGGGGGGAGCAGCAATATACAAACACCCTGTTAATCCAACAATCTCACTTAGACTGGGACAACAGAGATGTCACTGAGCGAGGGGCAGGGCAAACAGCTACCGGGAAGGACACAAGTTGGGCCGTTCAACATCACGAGGAGTTGGGCGAGTTTTCCAGCCAAGTGGGCGATATCATCACTATTGTTACTGGACAAACTATTTCATATGGACTAGCTACCAGGACCTCCTAAGCTCCTCTGACCCAAAGTTGGTGATGATCTTGTCATCTCTTTGCTTAAAACCTTCCAGACTTTCCATCTCACTCAAAATAAAACCCAAAGTTTCAAATGTGGCTCACCAGGTCCTATATGATCCTGTGGACCCTTAGCCTTATCACACAACAATTCTCTGTATTTGTTTATTTTGTCTCCTCCGTTAGACTGTAAATGAGGGTGGTTCCAGTTCATTCACTAATGTATGCCCAGCACCCGGTGTGCTAGTTGGCCTAGGGGCTCAATTAATATTTATTAAGTGAGTGAATTCAAACCTTCATAAGTGCATTCTGGACAATTATCTATAATAATAAAAGCTTAATATTTCTTTCTCTCTCTCTCTCTCTCTCTCTCTCTCTCTCTCTCTCACACACACACACACACACACACACACACACACACACACAAACTGTTTCCCACCTCCACGCTCTTCTAACTCATCAGTTGAGAATGAACTCAAATATGGCTTCCACTTTGCCTTCCTTCTGATTTTTACTGCACTTGCATCACAGGACTTTCAAACTACATGAGTTTATTTGCTAGTTTATATATCCAGTTCCTCTGCCTGCCTGAGCTTTGAGACAAAAACTATAGTTTTGAAACCAGACACTGGCAAGTAGGATTCCTGGAACTGCCTCTTACTTGCTGTGTGACTCTGGGGAAGTTGCTTGCCCTCTCTGTGCCTCAGTTTAGTCAACTATAAAATGTGCATAATATTAGGATGTACTTCTTAGAACTGCTGGGAGAATTTATTGATAAGTGGTATGCTAAATGCTTAGAACAAGGCCTGTCCTTACGGCATGCACTCAATGTTAGCTATTACAATTTGTATCAATATTATTGGACCCCCAGGGCCTACTACACACACACACACACACACACACACACACACACACACACGCACGCATGCGCACGTGTCACACACACACACACACACACACACGCATGCGCACGCATGCGCACGTGCGCACACACTGAGAACTGAGTTAAACTGGAATGTGCCCAGGCCTGGGTCCCCTGTCCTCCCACACCTTGTCACTGCCGCTAGGAACTCAGACCCCCTCCAGTTCCTTTTTGGCTCCTTCAAGTCCAGCCAAACCTCTCTGATAAAACTAAGGGGGAAGGAGGAGGGCAGAGAGGAGGAGGAGAATGAGAACAGCCAGATAAAATTGGCTGCTTCTGCGTCTGCTGGCCTCGGTGTACCCTGCGGCTCCGGCTCCTGCCAGGGATTTCAGCCTGGTGTGCACTTTTCATTAACAATAAACTTTGGAAACGGGAAAAGCTGCCTCAGGATGCATGGCTCAGGCTCCAACAATGAGAGAGTGATATTCCCAAACGCGGGCAGAGCGTTTCCTCATTTTACAAGGGGTGGGAGGAGGAAAGGAGAAGGAAAGTACTTTGACAGGGAAAGAAACAAGGAGCCTCACACCCCAAAAAGTCTGATGCCAAAGACTAAAGGTCAAAGCCAGCAGTCCTTTCAGTGTCTATCAGAAGGTGTGGGTCAGTGCCCCCTGCAAACCGAAGGGTGGCTTCAGCCACTGGCTTCTTCCCTTCCCAAATGGCTGACATGGTATCAAGGAGACATAAATGCAGTTCAGTTCAACACACTTCAATACGCCAAATATTTTACAAAGCAGATTGCATCAGTAAGTCCTGCTGATCCTACCTCTAAAGTATATCCCAATCCTGTCCACCTGTCCCCCATCGCCGGCCACCCCTTGCTCCAAATCCCCATCCTCCCAGATTTCCCACCGTTCACTCTTTGCCCAGCTGCTGGCTGCATTTGGAGGGGGTGGGGAACAGTTCCAAATGCATGTTCCATGGAGCACTAGCCCTGCAAGCTATTCTGAGGCAAATGGGGTTCCATGGTCAAACTGAGGTAACATAATTTGGAAAATGTTAAGACTGGATGGCCCTTGGAGAATCTGGTTTCTTTAACTCAAGAGCTTTGCAGGTTGATTTGGTCATTTCAATATTCCTATTATAATCCCCAGGAACTAACCAGGAGGCAGTGTGGAAAACACTGGATGAATGAGATGATACCCAACTGATAAAATCGGCCCCTCACTGTTGCAGGTGGGGCTGGGGGGGTAGCCAGGTGAGAGAAATGTCCAAGTGGCCAGGCCTGGCTCTGGAACCCCACCCTCAGCCCTCCCACAGGAAACAGCTGGAGTCTCATGGTCATGGCCCTCACTGGAACTCTAGATTAGCTAAAGGCAAACAACCGTTCTAGACTCGAAGCATCAATGGTTCTTCAAGAAGGCAATGCGGTGTCCATACGTGAAGCTTCTTGAGCCCTTCCTAACAAAGGCAGCACTTAGTGGAGGTTTACCATGTGCAGACACTGGACTAATAGCATTCTGCATGAATTATGCCCTATGGCTTTGGTCCTATGAGTATCCCCCATTCAACAGATGATAAAGCCTGGGTGTAGAGAGGTTAGTAACTGCCATGGCCACAGAGCTCAGACGAGGCCAAGGCAGGCCTGCGCCTGTGGTCTGACTACACACTCCATGCTCTGCACTATTATTCACTGTACTGTTACTCACATGCACTGAACCCTCTGACCCTCGGTTTCCTCATCGGTCAAGCAAGGTTAACAATCCCAGTGACGTGGGATTCAGTGAGCTGCCAGGTCCAGCATCCTCCTGCAGTGCCTCGGCCAGTGCTCAGTAAATGGGAGCTCTTCTCGTAATTATTTCATCTGCCTCTTAGGCAGCTTCTGGCAAAACAAAACCCTAAGACTTGCCTCTCTCTCTCTCCCCGCCAACATAGCTCTTTAAAACATGCTGTGGCTGCTGCAGAACCAGAGGATTTTCAAGCAAAAAGAACCTTAGAGATCAACTATTATTTTTCCAGAACAGCCCGGGATTTATAATGTATGAGAGCGAGGCCTTGGGAATCTGTTCTAAAGAATGACCGGCTTCCGCACCCGCAGCCCAAGGCTCCTTGCCCACAGTCAGGCCACTATCAGTGAGGTGACAGGACCGCTCTTGGCCATTCTTATGGCAGAAAGGGCTGCTTCCCTTGGGCACTTTTACAGCTGGTTATTTATAAGCCCAGAAATCTTGTCTGTGTTTATGTTATTAGTCACTAAGCAAAAGCTTATTTTCCACCAGTTGGGAAGGGTTTCCTTTCTGAAAAATGAAAGCCTGTGTCTCTTGGCCAGACAGTGTTACCCAGAAGCCCAGTGGCTCCAGAGTGGTAAGGAAAACTATGGCCCCTGACATGCCAGGCCCACCAGGAAAATCAAAGCCCTGAATAGAAACCTAGCTCGGCTGGAGTCAGCCCACAGCGCTGGGCCCACGTCCATGTGCTGAAGATCCGGGTTTTAGTACAACAACAAATTTTTATGAAGCACCCACTATGTGGATGGCATTGGAGATACAACTTTTACGAGGTTAAGAAGGGGAGGAAAGGCTGGCCCTGGAGAAGGAAAAGTGAAAGAGGGCAGAAATAGGAGCAGAACTACCAGGGTGCCAGGGATTAAGAGAAGAGGCATGGCTCTGTGGTTGAGCATTGATCTATGAACCAGGAGATCATCGTTCATTCCGGGTCAGGATATATGTCTGGATTGTAGGCTCGATGGGGTGGGGGGGGGGGTGGGGGGGCCTGCAGGATTCTCTCTTATCATTGATGTTTCTCTCTATCTTCCTCTCCCTCTCCCTTCCTCTCTGAAATCAATAAAGGTAATTTTTTTTTAAAAGAGAGAAGAGGAAAAAGAAGCAGGTCTTGAATGTAACACAGAGGCCTTGAAGGCCCCAGGGAGCTCTGGGGAGGAAGAGTCAGACACAAGTGACCAGACATCGCCAAGAACGATAAAAACGTGGAACAAAGGACAGGGTAGCATCCAGGATCCCGGACCTATGAAATAGTCCAGGGCTCTCTTCTCCCCAAGAGCCTCCCCAGACAGCTATCCCTCCTTCCCTGCAAGGCTTATTCAGAATAACAATAGTTCACATTTATTGAACCATTACCTCATGCCCTGGATTCTCACATTTAATACTAACACTCCAATGAGATAGGTATTAATATTATTCCTAATTTATAAATAGGAAATCAGCATTCAGATCAAGAAACAGCATGGCCAGCACCCTGCAAACACCCCCCAGGGCCTCTTTCTGTCACTACCCATCTCCCCAAGTGTGTGTGCTTGTGTGTGTATACGTATCTCCACCAATATCATGAATATCATCAACATAAGCCAATAGCACAGATTAGGTTGGCATTTCAAGTTTTCTAAAAATGAAATCATGCAGTGCATATTCTTTTGTGTCCGGCTTCATTAGCTCAACATTATATTTGTAAGACTAATCCATGCTGTTCCATGTAGTCAAAGACCGTTCACACCCATGCTTGTAGAGTTCTCCATGTTGTGAATGTATCATGGTTTAGTTATCCATTCTACAGTTGATATAGACATTTGCATTGTTTCCAGGTGAGGGTCAATATGAGCAGTGTTGCTGCAAGCATTCTTATGCATGACTTTTAATGCTCATTTGTATGCATTTCTGTTGGGCAGATCCTTACTGGATCTGATCCCAAATCTGTGTGACTCAAAAGCTTATGTTCTTGCCACGACTCCACACCACCTTACATAATACTCAGTAATGTAGCAGGACAGAATATTAATATTCAGATATCAGTTGCATTTTTATACACCAAGAGCCGATTATTGGTCTCTCCTTACATAATACTCAGTAAAGATTCTCTTTCATAAAAGAGAACCAACATCACTGTCTCT